TGTCAACGCCTTCAACGTTGTTGTTGTTGGTTTTTTTTTTTTTTTTAGCTTTTTTTGTTAACGTAGTTGGTTGGGGGTTGGAAATGTAGGACTACTTCCATTATTTTCTGTTAGTGCTGGTTCAATTCCATCATCTGATGAAAACGAAGCTTCAGCCATATCCGAAAGTACCCCCAAACGATGTCCCGGATGCTTGGGCAGAGACTCTATTGCGAATGCAGGTGCTAGGGTGGGACCTGCTGTTGTCAACATATCCATTCATCAGGGTATACATTTTAGCAACTTTTTCAGCCAGTTATGGTTTTGAATATCAAGGTTGTTATTTGTTGAGCTGTGTTTTTGTAGGTATGTTTGGAATTGGTGGTGGGAAGGGTATAGGTTCTGGAACTATTATTGACAAGGATGGTACCATTTTAACTTGTGCTCATGCTGTGGTCGATTTTCACGGAGTGCGAGCTGCATCAAAAGGAAAGGTTAGTGGTTTTATGGTTTTTCTTTGTGTTCTCATTGGTAAGAATGCCATTCGAGTATTGATTGTCATCAGCTCAATCATTGTTTCAAGCGAATCAGTCATACTCCCATATGACTTATAACAGCCAATCATAATTAGAATTTTCTTAGTTTGGAAATAACTTTGTATTATGTAACTTATTCATGCGGTACCGAAAGGTGCACCTTGATCACCTCCTTTTCAGGGAGAGCTAATGCATATCGGGTATTTTGGTTTGCTGTATGACATGACAGTCTAATATGAAATACGTATTCTTAACGGGCATGCATGAGTGTGTCATTCTCAATTTTCACCAGTATTCGCTTGAAAATAGCGGTTTATGTGTTTAGTTGCATTTAACTGTTTATCTCTAGTTTATATTTGAGCTTTTTTATGTTAAGCTTTCAAGTTATTTTCTTAATATGGGCATTTGGTTCGTTGGTTCCTAAGTATGATAAGTTGTCGCAGGTTGATATTACTTTGCAAGATGGCAGGACATTTGAGGGTACAGTGGTGAATGCCGATGTACATTCTGATATTGCTATTGTAAAGATCAATTCCAAAAGCCCACTCCCAACTGCAAAACTTGGCTCTTCAAGTATGCTTCAACCTGGAGATTGGGTGATCGCCATGGGCTGCCCACTCTCACTTCAGAATACTGTAACTGCGGGTATAGTAAGGTTGTTGGTCTATTCTATTGTCTTATAGTGAAGGCCTGTTGCCAATTTTCCACGGAAGGAAGGAACAAGATGCTTTCATTTTTTTTCATTTTTTAATACACTCCCTCGTTAGTGAATTATTTTTTCATGCACATTCAAATGTAAGTAAATTGGTTATGAAGATTTGTTTTGCATCTAACTAGTAACTTCTGTGGCATACAATTGATAATTATCACATAAAAAGAAAGTTAAATGTTTCAAGGTAAATGTAACTATCTATGCTGTCTTAGTCTTAAATTGGCAAGAGTAAATGTCTGTAATATTTTGTGCCGATTACTTTATTTTATTTTTTTATTTTTTTTGGGTTCTTTATGCAGTTGTGTTGACCGTAAGAGTAGTGATTTGGGTCTAGGCGGAATGAGGAGAGAGTACTTACAGACAGATTGCGCGATAAATCCGGTAGCTCTCTCTCTCTCTCACTGTTGTATTAATTTGGTAAATGAGGGTTGAGAGTGATGACGGAAAGGAGTGGTTGAACTTTGTGTTTATAGCTCCAGTTAGGTTTACTGAATTGGTTTTGTGACTTGTCCACTTTTTTAACATTTAGGGAAATTCTGGGGGGCCCTTAGTCAATATTGATGGAGAAGTCGTTGGTGTTAATATCATGAAAGTGTATGCTGCTGATGGACTGAGTTTTGCTGTACCAATTGACTCGGTCACCAAAATTATAGAGCACTTCAAGAAAAGAGGGTATGTTCAATTTTTGATGAATGTGTTAGCCTAAGTCAATATAACTAGTTTGGTAATTCAAATGCGTGTTGATTAATTATCATTTATCACGACTTCAGCCTATATGGTAAAAAACATAAAACTCGCTTTATGCTTGAGAAGTTTGCTATTTCACTGTGTTTCTGACCTCATTATATCAAACAACTAATTTTGATGTTCGACAGGAGAGTTGTCCGACCTTGGCTTGGATTGAAAATGATTGAGCTTAACGAGATGATCATCTCTCAGCTTAAAGGAAGAGATGCCAACTTTCCAAATGTTAAGAATGGCATTTTAATAGCAATGGTACGTCCTGAATTGGCTCCTTTCGCCCCAAGTTGCAAATATCCCAACAGTTATTTGCAATCTATTGTATGAGGCAAAATCAACATGTATGTTCATATAATCGCAAATCTTAACTACTTCTGCATGTAAAAGGGTGTTTTGGTACAATATGTGTGTCAATATGAAGGATAGTAGCTTACCATTTAACGTGTTATACATGCCAGGTTTGGCTAATGTTTTCTAGATGTTGGTTCCTTTGATATTAATCTTTGATGTGTCTAAATCACGAGCAATGTTCTCTTGGTGTGTCTGGTTTTTGTCTTTTTGAGGTTTCTTTTTATAATTTACTCAAGCTCGGTTTCTTGCCTTGACGCATTATCTAATTTCTTGTCCAATATTGGATTTTTTTCCCTTCCCTATGGTGAACAATTTTTAAGCACCAACTAGAAGGCACAATTGGGTACTTCGTTGTAATCTTATGTTTAGTGAATAATAATTCATCCCCTAGGTAACTCCTGGATCACCTGCTGATCGTGCTGGGTTCGAACCTGGTGATGTCGTCGTCCAATTTGACGGGAAGTCTGTTGAAAGCATTAAGGAGGTATCATTTTTATTCTTTTGTCATCATCATGTTTGTGCCTGCTAGAGGAGAAAAGTTGAAGCCCAAAATGACCAACATAACATGTCTAGATTTCCAACGAGTCTGATGATCAGTAACAGAAATCCTTTTCAAAATCATTTTTCTAGCGTCAAATGTAGAATTTATAAATAAAAGAAAAGGGGATGTCAAAGGTCATCTGATATGGTGTAGTGTACAATTCTTCATTAAAGAGGAAGGTTCGCCCATCCTTTTCAAGCCAAAAATAACAGAGAGAGGAAGTTTCCTACATTGTACTCACTATCTGTCATTGTTTATAAAGTCGTTAATATGATCCGTAAATGTGTGGCAGGTAATTGAAACAATGGGTGACAGAGTTGGGGAACCCTTGAAGGTGGTCGTCAAAAGACCTAAAGATAAATTGGTCACTTTGACTGTGATTCCGGAGGAGTCCAATCCATATATGTGATGAGCCAAACTTTCAAAGCGCTTTTTTTTTTTTTTTTTTTTAATTAGAGGAACAAAATTAGCCGTTAGCAGGTTTTTGTATGCTAGGGTCTTGTTTTACAGCTTACTTTTGTCTCATCAATAATTATCTCATGTAATGAATATAAGGCGTATTTGTATATTCATACATACCCTTCTGCTGGGTATACAAATATATAATTCTTGTTTTGACTCTCAAATAAGCACAGAGAAGAAAAGGTTAATTTAACTTCCAATCGAGCAGCGTATAACAAACATAGTTCATGCCAAAAGACAAGCGTTGTTGAAGGTCTAAAGTATTGTCTACGTCTGGCCTTTGGCCCTTTTGATGAAGCTTCTTTGCACAAATAATAATAATTGATAACAATAATAATAAAGCTTTTTTTTTGGTCCCTCGTCATTTTTATTGGAGAAATTTTTCCTAACGTAAAAGGCTAAATGATTAGTGTAATTTTTTTTTTATTAAGCCGTAACCATATTATTTTGCGAACCAAAAGTCATTTTTTAGCGCATGGCAAACAAGACACTATCATATACTGTTCTAAACAAATGTACATATATGATCGTAAGACAATAATTCTTTACAACAATATTATTCAAGTTTAAAATGACAGTTAATTGTGATAGAATGATTAATATTAACAGTAAAAACAATAGTCTTTTATCAATGTGCCTTTTAATATTTTTTATATTCATGACATGTATACATAACAATCATTTATTGATATATATTTAAAAACTTTTAATTTTTAAAATAATAACTGTTTTGACTCAATATAAAATAATTACGTTAAGCATTCAGCCAGTTACTATCAACACTTTCAGCCGGTTATGATGGATCCTCTATTTCCAAACAGGGCGTATAGACAACTCCTAATAATGATATTAAAAATAGTTGTCTAAGTATATGTATAAAGTCTACGTGGATCTTCAATAAGTGGCTATACCAATAAATTCCAGCCTAAGAAATTGACATCAACATCACATAAAAACAGTATTCTCCACATCGCCCTCGTCTCTAATGTTTTAAAGGTACAAAAGTAAATTGAAAGGCAATACCAAAATACTCGAAGAATGAAAGCAGTTTCTTCCATTTTAGAGGTCGCTGGGGGAAAATTAAAGGAAAAACGCAATGTACGGTAGTTAGTGAGCGGTAAAAATCAAAAGTTAAAACAAAAGGGTAAATCCACCGCATTCTCCACAAGGGGCAAACGAGCAAACCAAATATCTGGAATTTCTTGTTCTTCTAATATTCAATATGCACATGCACAGAAATTTGCGATGTTATATTGCTTATCGCGTTCCCTATGTACATGCAATTTACATACAGCTCGCATAGTGATTGAAAGATCGTTATCCATTCAACTTTTCTCGTATATTTACACTGTAAATCAGTTCCCTAAAAGAAATTAAAGAGATAATAAAGAAACATAAATATTAACAGGAATCACCACCAAATACAGATATCTTGTATTTACCACAATTTAGAAAGTTTGTTCTGGTTTCAGGAAATTATAATATTCAAGCTGAGTCATCTCTCCACCATTCGCCGGGTTGAATTCACATCGATAGAAACTGCATCAGTAACCCAATTTACATTATAAAATTTCAACACCATAAACTGAATACAAGGTATAAAAGAAAAACAAACAAAAAAAAGATTTGGACCATCAAGTAAACTCATAATCACACATACATGATGCATGGGACAAAGTACCTACACCACTACATAAATAAATAGATTAGGATCATAGACAACGCATAATATCTCAAAATTTCTCAGTACCTATCACAATAAAAACGGAAAAAAGATAAAAAAAACCAGAGCCCTGTCATGCCCAAAAGATAATGTTATGCACGATAAGAGTCTGACTCTTAACCAGTTGCTAAGCATATTACTTATTTCAATTTGTTTTCTTTATTTTCTTGTATTGTTCCGTTTCTGCCTCCTACTACTTCTCCATGGCTTACTTTTTAGATCTACAGACTAGTTTGCTTCTTCCTAAAATATCAACCCTGCTATACAAGTACGATAGGAGAAAGTTCCAAAAGCAGCCACTGTCTTTGAATTAAATATAAGTTTAGCACAATGAAACTGTCAGAGACCCTTCCTATACTCTAGTTGTATAGTTCATTGTCTCAAACAATCACAAACTTCAACCGTAGCTAATGGGAATTGTTAAAAACATGTACACATGAGTGGCAGCATGATTGAATCAAAGGGGAACTGCCTATCGGAAATGATCTATTATGCAAAGGGAATAGAAGCCAAAAAAAAAAAAAAAAGAAAGCAAGTTACTCAATTTTTTAATATATTTACCTTCCATCCATACCAAGAATCACAACTACGTTCTTCTGGTGGCCAAAGGCAACTATGTGCTGCAAGCCTTCTTGCAGATGAAATTGGGCCACTGACCACTCTGAGCTGAAATATTTTGGCAGCACCCCTGCAGAACATAGCTACAAATGAGGTCTGGAAACAATAAAGACATCCCACAAAAATCGGGCGTAAAATGCTATTCGTCTCTAGCTGCCTTCCCTGACTCCCAATTTGTCAATAGCGTTCTAGCCAACACCAGAGAATTATTCAAACAAGAGCTCCAATTACATGACCTTCCATTTAATAAAGTATCTCTAAGCATGTAATGTCAAACATGAACAAAGAAGTTGTGAAACAACATCACCAAATTACCTCAAGTGAGTAAATCATAATTGGATGCAAACCTTTAGGGCACAACATTTGGGGTGGTCAAGTGGAATCGTTTTTGAATATCCAGTTTTATCTAATTCCAAGAGTCCTTGAATATTACTAAATGGTAATACTGATCCCTTGAAGCAAAACTATCAGTATACATTGCACTGAGTATTACCTTTCATGAAGGAAAGAGACGGAATGGCTGATGGATTAGCAAGATTGGATTTGGGCGAGTTACGTGACATATCATTTGCTAAGAGTCCAGAATCAACCTTCAGAGTGAAAACATGGACAGTTCCCTTGTCACTTGAGACGGCTAACCATTGTGCATTTGAAGAGAAAGCAAGACTGTATATCTCTGCTCGATCTGCACCTCTCCTTAACTGCAGCAAAAGCCATAGCGCATTTTTTCTTTGAGACTCACACTTGAATCTTGTCAAACCTTTAATCTCAATCAACACTAAATCTCACTCTTTTTCCATCTCTTACAACCGATCAAATTAATGCAATCAGATATGAAAATTATCACAGAATTAAAGAACTCACGTACTAGACCAGCACATAGTTCAAACCTAAACTTTCAATAATACTCCAACTTATGGTCATATATAATATATGATATAATAACCTTTATGCAAATTGAAAAAAGAAGAAAAAAATGAACTCCACTTGGATTAAATGCAAATTTTCACAAAATTGAATAACTCGGGCAGCAAATCAGTATATATATATATATATATTGGAAACAATAAGAATTGAGAATAAAAATCTAATCGAAGTTCAAACAACTCAGATACTGAATAAACGGCATACAAATTTCAATAAACCTAGCCAAAGCATTGAAAAAGATTACCACTTGGACTAAGTGCAAACTTTCACAAGACTGAAGAACTCAGATAGTAAACAAACACACACATTCGAAAACAAACAGAATTGAATCAAACCTAACAAAAGAGAATAGAAAAGATTACCTCTTGGAGCAAAGAACCATCCAAGGTATTGAAAATCCTAACCAAAGTCCCCTTACTACTAGCCGTGGCAAGCAATCTGCCATCCTGCGTGAGCGAGAAAGCGGCGATTCTGGAATCATGAGCCATAATGAATTTGGTCCTCTTGGAGCCGTAGTGCTCGACCCTGACCTGACCTTTCTGGAGGCCAGGGCAGACGAGGACGACGGGGCTGGAGACATGGGAGACCTCGCAGAGGCCCTTAGGGTTGGCGATGGTCTCAATCTGGTGGAGAAGCTTGAGGTCGGCGAAGTTGTAGACGAAGATCTTCTGCACGAGGACGACGACGATCCGGTCCCTCCGGAGGCGGACGCCCTTGACCTCGGAGCGGAAGGAGAGCTCGCCGATACAGCGGGACTGGTGATCGTCCCAGATCATGACCTTGTTGACGGGGTACTGGGGATCGGGGCCGCCGCCGACGAGGGCGAGGATGTTGCAACGGAAGAGCATCTGGACGAAGCCGATCCCGCCGCGTGCGGCGCCGAAGTCGCGGCGGAAGATGTCGCAGTTGTAGAGGCGGAAGCCGGAGTCGGTGCCGATGGCGAAACAGCCGTAGTCTTGGTTGAAGGAGAGGTGGAGGAGGGCGGGGACTCGGGTCGGGACGGGGCTGGGGTTAGGGGTAGGGTTTTGAGGTTCGTCGAAGGCGGCGGACATCGAGTAGGCGGTGGCGGCGGCGGCGGAGGAGGAGTTGTTGGATTCCGGTTCCGATTCGGGGAGGATTAGGGTTTGCGGGACGGAGGAGGAGGGGGTGGTGGTGGGATGGAGAGTCTGTGCCATCGGAGGTGAGATTAAAGAGGAGAATTCTGGGGAGTTTGAGGAGTGGAATAGAAGGAAGAAGAAGAAGATAGGGGGGTGATCATGGAATTTGGAAGCAATAGGTAGTATAGAAAATTGGTTTTAATGCGGGTGAGTTTAACCAAAAAGGTGACTCCGTGATGGTAAGTGTGGGACCCGCTCCTTGTCTTTTGAGTTAGATCCAGCGGTTGATAAGTTCTATTGATTTATTTACTGATTTCAGCAAAAAAGAAAAAAAAAAATTACTGCTGCAAGGATTTTTTTTTTGTTTTTTGGGATGGGGAAGGTAGGGAGAAATTTTTATTTTATTTTTGGGAGTACAAAAAATTATCAATTCTACTTTCCAATGATAATTTAAGGCTCGTACAAAGGATGTTTGATAGAGGAATTCGTTTCTTAATTTGAATCATGATTCATAATTCGTTACAGTATTTTTTCTTATAAAAAATTTACGTAAATCGAAAATGATTTAAATCACATAATTTGAATCCTCCAACCAAACGTCCTTCAAAATTAAGAATTGTTTTCTAATTTTACGGGTCATTTTCGTATTGTATTTCAATTAGCAGCAAAAAAACTTGGAAAACATTAGCAGCAAAAAAAAAAAAAACAAAAAAATTTATTTGAAAACATTAAAAGAGTTGATATTTCGTCCTGTTCATCTTTCGTCCCTGTTTTTATGCAAATTAGATAGAAATCTCAATACCGAAGGAAAGTTTTATACGGCTCAAATGGGATTCCATTTTGATATTGTGAAATGTTAATTTATTAAAAGTGTGAATTTAAGTTATAATTTTATTAAAGTTTTTTTTTTAATTTGAGTTTAAATTTGAGTTTGAAATTAAAAATCTGAGTTCAAGTTTTCCTTTTAACTTAAGTTCCTAAACTCAAATTCAAGTTAATGAATAATATTTTTTCTATTTTTAAAAACGCTATAACTTTTTCGTTTTAATTCTGATTGAGATGATTTTTTTCTATGCGTTCATAATGAATAGATGAATAAAACTCCGCCCATATACCCTATTAAAATTTTTTATCACTATTGAGTTTTTATTAAAATACTATATAAATACAAATTTAAGTTTTGACTTACTCAAACACAAACTCAAATAGATTCTCAATTTAAATCATAACTCAAAATGTGCACATCTAAACACAAACTCAAATTAGACTCTCAACTCAAACCATATTCAAATACACCTTAACTCAAATCAAGATCTGATTTCAAATCATCCTAACTTAAAAAATATAAATAAACAAGCCCTAAGTATACAAGTATGCATGCTAGGTGAAAAAATAATTATTATTTAGCTCACAAAATATTCATTTATAAAATAAAAGAATAAAAAAAATTAATGGTCAATTTTGACAATTTTTGATGAAAGCTTCTAATATTTTCCAAATATTTTGTTGATATTTTTCAACGTCTTGTTAAAAGTATTCACTACAACCTCATTAGTCATTAGATTAATAGTTTTACCTATATTTTTTATAGTTACCAAAATTTTTCTAATTTTTTTTTTTTTCAAAAAGTTCTCACAGCATTAAAAATTCCAAAATTTCGATGGAAATTTCATGAATATGAGAGATTCTTTTCCAGCATAAAAATTTATGTTGAGAGCCATTGGCGAAGCTAAAAACTTTTTCAAAAGAGACGTGGGTCAAACTAATATTTGAAAGGGAAAAAACCATCTAACTATACTTTTTTCTTTTATTTTTTCTTTTTTCTTTTGTTAAATAACTTTTTTGGGGGCAAAGTTCTAAAGAATCCCGGGCCTCAAGTGGCTCCGCTTCTATTAGTAAAATCGCACGTACCAATTACAATAAAGTATGAATTTGATTATCATATTTGTTGTCTATTAGGGAGAAAATTTATAATAAAGATAAGCAAATTTTAGTTATAATATGATCACATTTTAATTTGACCATTTTTTATTATGCTCTAAATAAGAGAAAACAATCGATAATAAATAAGTAAAAAAATATAAAAAAAATTAAAGTTATAAATAGAAACAAAAATTAAACTATTTTTTCTTAAACTCTAAGAGTATGTTTGGAATCTGGATTTTTGGGAGGAAAGGAAAAAAAAATTTGAAGGATTTTGATTTTCCATGTTTGGAACAAAGAAAAAATGGTGAATAAATTTTTAAGGAAATTTTAAGGGAAAATCTATAATGTAAAACTTGAATTTTATTTTCCTCAAAAAAGAGTGAGGAAAATCAAAATCCAAATTTTATTCAACAAAAATCACTCTATATCTCTCACCTCACACACACTTTTTCCACTCTCTTTCTTGTATCTCTCTTCGCTCTCTCTCTTCACATTCTCCCTCTCCTCACTCTCTCTCTTTTGCTCGTTATTTTCACCCCTCTCTTTCCTCTACCCATTTATCGCTCTCTCTCTCTCCTTCTTTCCTCTCTCTCTTTCTCTTCTCTCTTTCCCGGCGATTGTCCTCTGCGGCGATCTGTCTTCTCCGGCAAGATCTATCGCCTTCCTCCATTGTGAGTTCGCCTGCGTCACCATTGTCCACCACGTCAGAGCTCACACTGAAATTGTCCTCTATCTGGTCGGCTATTTAAAACTTTTCAAAATGTTTTTTTTTTTTATAAATTTCCATAAGGCTCCAAACAATATGGAAATTTTTTTATTTTTTTCCCCTTCTTTATTTTTTTTTTTCCTTTTCCTTTTCCTTCAAAATATCCCCTCGCCCAAAAAAAAAAAATAAATAAAAAATAAAAAATAGTTCCAAGATGGGCTTAAATAAGAAAGAGCGGATAACAAGTAATTAAAAAATATATAAAAAGTGAAGAGCAGAAATGAATACAAAAATTAAACCACTTTTTATTAAGCTCTAAATAAGAGAAAGTAGCAGATAATTGTTGGTAACCGAATCAAATTCGGATGCGGAAGCGTGGCGGGGAGGCGGATCGTGTATAACAAAAATTTCAGAAAAACTTTTGAGATACGCTATAGATTATATTAATTTATGCACGAATAAATTAATCACATTAATTTATATGTATCAAGAACTCAATCAGGAAAAAATACCTGGAAGCCGACTCGGATGATAACTTGAGTTCTTTGACCACGAACAGTACTTGCTCCAATCTTTGTGTTTAGAAAACCAAAGTCTTCCACGTCAATTCCTTGATTCCACGTAGACGTGTGTGTGGGCACACGTGAGACAAAACAGGTTTCTGAAACACTCGAATTTTCACAAACACCAACACATGCACGATGTGAAATTTTTTGGGAGAAAAATTTTTCCTCTCTTTTCTTTCAATGAGAATTTCAGCCACCAATCAATTAGGGCAGAAAAAATGTTTCAAAATTTGTGTTCACAATTTTCTATCATTCTCATATTTAAAGAGTAGAAGTCAAACTTCAAAAAGGAATCAAATCTCTATCTCCTATTTTGAATTTGGAACAAAAAATCTCCTACACCTTATCTCTAATGTGGCCGGCCACCCTAGGGTTTTTTTTCCTTGTGTGTGGCGCCAATTTTGGATAGGAAAGGAAGAGAAATCATCATTTATCCTGTAGTCCAATTTTAATTC